CCGGCCCCCCCGCCACCCCCCGGTGCCCACGATTCGCCTCCCCGCCCAATGGGGGCGGCAGAAAGCCGCAGGCTGCAGGAACGTGCTGGCCGCCCCTTCCCACAGCTCCCATTGGCTGGGAGAGGCGAACTGCGGCTACTGGGAGCTGCGCCTCTGGACGGTCAAAGTAGGCAAAATGTCTCGTGGCCTGCCAGTGGATTACACTGATGGGCCACGTGGCGAAGGTTACCAACCCCTGACTTAGACCATGTTTTTTCATACCACAAAGGCAGCCGTGTGTTACTCACAAGAAATGGCATGCAGCATTCGCGAACAGATGTACTTCCAAAGCCTTCAAAAAGCAAAACCAATATACTATCCAACAGCAAATAGAAAAATAAGCACTTATTTTATATAAGTATATAACAAAGCATCTATACATACACAAAGTGGAAATAGCATACAAATAATAAACGTCAACGTTCATTATTTGCAAAATCCTGAAGAAAAACCCATAAAGGTGATGCAGTGCATTAATTATTAAAGTCATTAAATAGCTAAATAAATGAGAACATAGTCTACAAGTATTGGGGACTAATACACACTAAACTGCAAAGGTATGAAATACTTTCATGTGTGACTAGACATCCTTGTATTTTTTCCCCAAGCACTTCTATTAGAGCAATTTTTCCCCCATTAATACAGTAGCAGAGAGCTCACTCAGTCAGTCTGTGTATGAGGGAGAAATTGCAGATTTCAATTTTCTCAAAATAATCCTTTTGGTCACAACAGTTACTGCAATCTATTTCTTAATGTTAACTGATAATTCATAAACACTTTTTTAAAAATTAAAAGGAAACAGGCCAAAGCAATAATTTTTAAGTGTGGGTCCTTGAAGTTAGGCTCCTAATCTCATATTTAGGCCACTGAAAAACAAAAGGCCACTTCTATTTAGAGGCAAAGAGCAACTCCGGCTGCTACTAAATCACTGGGAGCTCATTATATTTGAAAATCAGGCCATTTCTTATTAAAGATTCTAAATACAGATTTAGAAACCTAACTTTAGGTACCCAGATTTGAATAATTTTGGCCTTCATCAGCCGCTTAGCCATGGCAGCAGTTTACAAGCACAAAATATCAGTAGGCAGTGATAGTTTCCCTTCTACCTGAGCAGGTGAGAGAACGTATAGTTTCTGAACCTCCTGACAGTGGCCCAGCTCTTCAAAATGTTTATTTACTTATTTTGGCATGCATGCAAATTTTTCCAGGAAATGCAAGTGAGTGAAAGGAAATGGTGATTTTTAACAGTTTATAATTCTGCTGAATCTGAATTTAGTTTCATAGGACAAAAGAAAATACACTTCTTTAGTCATAAGGCTCTCTCCAAGCCAAGTACAAAGGCAGAGGCGCCAAATTACTCAGGTCCCGGGGGATGCTTGACCCTCGCTCCACACCAGACCCTGCCCCCACTCCACCTCTTGCTCCACCACAGGCCCGTCCCCATTCAACC